GAGGAGGAGGGGAGGGTACGGAGGTGCATACCCTCCCCTCCCTACGCTCCCCTCCTCCTCCTGAAGAGCTGCGTTGTATCTTTGCATTACAGAGATTTGTAAACGTCTTTGATTGTTCTCCTCCTTTAATTTGACAATAGCGAAACTTGGAGACCGCCTCACATCAACAAGATACTTCGACTATTCAAACGGCTATGCGCGACCAAAAGCGTCGCTGCGGTCAGCTTTCCACGATTGGCCAGACCATGGGCATATGAGCATTGTCAGATTGTCAACTTTGACGGTGTTAGTTCCGGTTGCGATGGTTCCTAGCTTCCACTGTGCTTTTTAAACACACCATCGGACTCGTCGTCGCACCTGCTGGTAAGTAGCCAGGGTAACAACTGGTGACGTCACGGCGAGGCAAATCCGAGTCGTGACGTCACGGATGGAAACCATTAGAGGGCGCCACCGAAATATCTCGGCGCTAGTAGCCGCGTGTCCAAGAAGGGAGGGGGGGAGGGCTGGAGTGGGTGGTTGGCTAGTGTGGCTGGAGTGAGAGGTATGCTCGTTGCCTACATCGATCCAGTAATTCAGGACGGAAGTAGATGGCACGCTCATCGAATCAGATTAAAATGTACGCCTAGAAACGCGCGGATTTTTCAGCGCCGGCGCATGTGCTAGGATCATCTGGTCGATCACGACCAACTTACTGTAATCCTGACCTGCCAACAGAAGAATGTGCCAACGCGATTGTAGTACATGGCTGCGGCCGCAGCGTTTCGTCACGCTATGACACCGCGGCGTTGCATAAAGGCATTTTTTGTGTGTGTTTTCTTGGGTATTCGCATATCAACCGAAGGCGCGCAAAGCGCGGTAGCCTCAACTAATCCTTATCTCCTCGTGGTCCTCGCGGGATCAAGTCGTCAGTGGGTGGTCGCGTGACAGACTCGTCACTAGAGGCGCCACATGGAGCGTTGACCCCTGAGCTGGCGATATAATTTCGGGCCGTCCCACTAGATGGCGCCATAACTCAGCTGTTCAAGGCGTGCTAGAGATGCGTGTAGTGATAGGCTTGCGCGCGTCCGACGCAGTCGCAAATTATTTATAAATGGTTTGCTTTCGCTCCATTATTTAACGCAAATAAACTAAATAAACCACACTACAATCAAAGCGCCCCTGAAGATAAATGGAGAGAAAAAACAGCGCATAAACTGAGTTCTGTTTCACACTACAGGGTGTCGTAGAAAAAATCGCATAAAAAAGCCAATGAACAGAGTGCCATGAACGTTTTCACAAAGGGGCCTTTACGTGTTGCCTTTGTCATACTAAAATGTTGTGAGTGTAGGTCGTCGGGAAATGTTCTAGGAAAGAAAAGCCTGTTTGGTGCCCCATGCGCAGGAGAAAAACAAGAACAAACAGGTTGGCGCTGCTATTCGTTTATGGTATCACACACGCTCGGATCTTCTGAGTCTGCTTTAAGGCCGGTTCTCACATGCAGCGAAGAGCTGATGTAGCACTCCTCACGTGCCGTCAGCTACTTATCGTCAGCCAAGAGCAACAGTTTTCACGGTGGGATACAAAGCTGGTGAACGCTCCCGTCAGCACGCGCTTAGCGCGAGGTAAGCGCTATGCTTGTAGCGCTTCGCTGCATGTGTGAACAGGCCTTTAGGGTGTTTATCTCCAAGAATTTTTAAAGTTTTTGCATCATTTTGTGTTATATGTAAGTAGCAGCGTCAACCCGACGGTTTGCTTCCATTTTACTGCAGCGCATCGAAAAAAATAACTTCTTATTTCCTTTTTCCCCTTTTTCCCTGCATTTTTTTTTTTTCAGACCTTTGCACTCACCGATTTTGATCATGATCAATGCACCGCCTAAAATACCTTTGTGAAAAGTTTCATGGCACTCTCTTTGCTTGCTTACTTATACGATTTTCTTACGCCCGAATTGTCTCGAGAACGACCTGTAAAGGGAAGATGAACAACAAGAAAAAAAACATACCCCTCTTTAGGATTGCGTTGAACTCCAGTTTATGAAATCAATGTTACAGTACAGGGTACAGGGATGCTAGTGCAGTCTTCTTGAGGGAGTCGGTCCAGCTAGGCCAATCAGAAGACGTCGCCCACTGCTTCAAGTGCGAGCTGCTTAGAGTTCACGCACTTTCAATGAGCGAGTCACGCGCGCCTGGACAGAGCGTACGTCTCTCAAGAGATCATCGGCGCCTGCAAGTTTTATTCAGTAGATCATGTTCCTTTCAGTGACCACTGCCTTGTTTCTTTTATGCTCTGTTCACCTAGAGAATCTCCTAAAAAGTGCAATTGGGATTTATGAAAATTTAATACAAAGCTTCTAGAAGATAATTCTTTTCTAAAGAGAGTGCGTGAGAGTCTCGACGATTTCGCTAGCAGAAAAGTGGGAGGCTTCGGAGAAAAATGAGGATTATAGAAACAAGACTTGAAAATGAGAGCACTTGAACAGTTCAGCATATTGAAACACGAAAAACAAACAAAAGAGTTAAGCCAACTGCTACAAAGGTTGCTGGTGTCGTACGCCCGGCATTTCGTTGATGACATAGTCAGTTTGAAAAAGAAACTTGAGGCTCTCGATACGGAACGGTACATGGTGCGCGCGACTAAGACGGTTATCACTTGGCGAGATACCAATAAAACGAGCTCTCGGGATTGAGAAGACGTACGCCATAAAATCAGCGAAATTTTGTACCACACAATTTTATACCAGCGATAGAAAAATAATCGAATGCGCATTCGTTCACTGATATAGATCTTTCCATCGCTTATCACGTGGGCGAAAAATGCTGAGTCACTGAGCTGTGGACGCATGCGCAGCGTCTAATATACCGCACAGCAGAGCAACAGCGCATGCTCAGAAGGCGTTCCACAGCCCAGCAGAAAAAAATGGCAGCGCACAGAAGGTGATTTTTGCAAAGGTCAATAAGGAGCTTCTTAGTTTTCGTGCCCCCGATAAAGACGGATTCCAGACAAAATTTTTGCCGTTAATGCCAAAACTAGAGGACGACGTCAGGGAAAGGTTAGAACAGCCAATAATGTTGGAGAAAATCGAAAAGGCGATCGAAAATTTAAAAATCGGAAAATTGCCCGGTTCGGGTGGTTTAGGAGGGGAGTTCTACAAGGCTTTCAAAGACCAAATTGCACCTTTTTTGTATGGAGTGTTCAGGAAAGCGTACGATTTGAAATGTTTGCCTCCATCTTTTTTTCTACACGCACACCATTTTTATTCCGAAAAGTGAGGATTCTTTACTATGCATTCATCTATTAATATCTTTGTTCGGTTATTTTCCTAGAAATGTGTTTCATTGGGTAGGGCTGTAGATAATGGTAACCTTTCCGGCGCATCAAGTCAGTTCTTTTGCCGTCAAACGTGGTTGAAATTAATGATGAACGTGGTCAGATGCATCATAGTATTTTGTTCCGGGGGGGGGGGGGGGGGGGGGGGGTCCTTGACAAAATGCTTTATGAGGCGGAGGGGGAGAGGAGGCCCCAGCAAATGGAAGGTATCGGGGGGGGGGGGGGGCACGGGTCCCCCCTCTGGATGCGTGCCCTTTGCACTCACCGATTTTGAGCATGATCAATGCACCGCCTAAAATATCTTTGTGAAGATTTTCATGGCACCCTCTTTTCTTGCTTACTTATACGATTTTTTTACGCCCGAATTGTGTCGAAAACGACCTGTAGAGGGAAGATGAACAACAAAAAAAAAGCAAAAAAACATACCCCTCTTTATAATTGCGTTGAACTCCAGTTTATGAAATCAATGTTTTCGCGATTCAGCAATGAAACCAGATGTTCGCCTTTCGTCAACTGACGAGAGACCATGACACACTTTTAAGCGAAAGGCCCATGGCAGCCAGTGCTCGTAGCGCACGCGCGTTCTCTGCCCAAAAACCTCGAACAGGTAATTTCTAAAACAAAAATGTAAATGTCTTCAAAATTTTTCAGTCTGCGGTCTCCTAAGAAGGTCTGGTGGACTTGGCCTAATGAACTCAGCTGACGAACTGGGAATGTGTGCGTTGTGCGCGCGTGTGTGTGTGTGTGTGGGGGGGGGGGAGGATAAATTACTAAGTAATTACGCAAGGACCGTCGAGCGGCGCGAGAGAGATGAGCTTGAGCGTTCGTGGCGACCGACGAACAGCGCTAGCCGGCTTCTTTTCAACAACCTCCTTTGTAAGTGGTGTATATAAAAAATCACTGCTGCGTGGTGCGCGTTAAATACCCCAGGCTTGGAATTGTACTGCACTGGCTAAATTGCTAATTTATAATTGAGACACCCGACGCCCATTGGGGTTGGTTAACTTCTAACTGTGTATACACACAACACAATTAAAATTAGTGTATATAAAGATGTGGTTTGCCATTCAACTGGCCTCTACAATATGAAAGAAAATATTTAAGGTGTCCGAGGGTTGCACTGTCGTGTTAGTTTCCCCAAGGTTCGCCAGTGTGGTACTGCGTCAGCCAGTGTCGGGGTCAGTACGGTGGTGCTTACGGTGACATGCAACGTCGAAGGCAGTAAGCCACTAAAAAAGCTTCGCGATTTTTATAAAGTGCTGTATTATGGCTTGTGTTTCAGTCGTCAATGTCCGAAAATGTTGTATTGTCGTAACTAAAAGTAATCAATTGAAAGGGGTGTTTAATTCATCCCAAGCAGTGAGAGGAAGCGTACCAAGTAGGAAATTCCTGCCACTGACGTTCACTCGCTCACACTGATGGCGGATTTACAACCAGTCTAAGACAGAGATTCGGTCCTAATTATGTCCGACGTGAAACTTGTGAAGTCACTAGCAAACGCCTAACGAGCAGGCAGAGCGTGCCTAGTGTACATAAAAACTGTGTAGCGTTTAGACAATTTCTTACCATTCTTGCACCTTACTTGGAACGTCCGTGGACCGGAAAGACGCCATGCCAACGTACATTGTAAATATCTCTTATTATAGCGTTACGGTTTATCTCGAAACGTCCCATTCTTACTTGTCTTTGTCCAGTTCCGGACAGCCATAGCGGATGTTCATGGCAAGCGTACGGACCGTTTTCTGCTGCGATGGCTGCGAGGTGAGTACTGCATGCCGAAGCGACCCATGTTCTTAGACCTATCAGTTGACAAGCTCCATTGAAAAGTGCAGGATTAGAATCGCATGGAAGCAGCCGTATTGGAATCACGTGACGCTGAATCCCTGAACTCGTCGCTTCGCTCTTCCTTCCGCACCTTGGCGGATGCATAGCATTCATGTTTTCGGTCGCGTTTCGCCGCGTTTTTTGCCTTACTCCGTAAAGTGTCGTCCGATACTTACATTTTCTACCTATTTGTATTGTATTATTATGTGCATAAGTTCTGCAGCTACTTCTGTAACGCGTGTTTTGATTATTTTCACCGTCGGCGTACTGGATACGAGGGAGGAGGCTTCTTGCGCAGGTGTGGGATGATGTCAAATCACCGAGTCCTTATTGGTTGATTGAAAAAAAAATAGTGGGTAGTCGTCAAGGCATCTAGCGTTGAGGTCTATACCCACAATCCTTTCAATCAAAGCTAATCAGAGTTTGGCGTCATTCGGACGTCGCCACTTCTGCGTTAGAAGCAGATGACTTGCTCTCCGAACATGAGGCAGAATCGACGTTAGCACTGACACACATTGACTATATAAAGGGCTAAGAGAGCGCGACGATCCGAAGGCCAACTACTAAAGACAATTCATGTTTGCTTACTAATAACGGTGTATCTTTCAGAATAAGAAGGGCAAGATATATTTATGATCAAGCATTTAGGATCCTTTGGAAGGGGACAAAACTAGTCAGTGATACTTTCAGGAAACACGCTATGTGTGTTTCCTGAAAGCATTGGGCTTTGTATTCATTACAGAGTGAAAGCAGCTGCGTTTTATTAAACAAGGGAACTCATGTATAAGATAGGTAACGAAGGTTTAACTTGCATTTTTATCTCACACTAGGGATAATGCTATACGTTAATATGAGGTGATTCATTGATTCATAATATCGCACCTACATGTCTTCGACATTCTTAATTGGTTCTTGCGATAAAAACATTAACTTTATTGGTTCATTTGCGAATGTCAATAGACTGTTCACCTTGCTCGGTTCCGTGTCTCTTGTCTTTGAAATGCTGTAAAGATTTCCTAGCCCATTTCGATTAATTTATTATAACTTAAAGGTTGTGGCTTCACGCAGAAGAACCTGTCATAGAAAGCTTGAGTGCCTAAGGTTCGCAATACGGGACGCCGAAAAGAAGCCGTCTGCATGAAAATCACCCAAGCGCAACGTGGTCGGTGGCGTATAGGAAAATTACTTTAAGTAGCTGCCGACACCGAAATCTACAAAGCGCGTCTGTTCAAGCAAATAAAGACACGTCTACACAGGTCCGTGAAGTGCTGCGTGGCGTTCGACTCCGGCCAAACTTGACGAAGACTAATGTCACATGACAATTAACAGGCCTATCAGTAATCTGATATATTGACTGCGCCGTAAACAAATGTCCATATAACAGAAAACTTGTTTCCTAAGGTCAATATTGGGAAATGCTGTTAACGAGCACTTTAGCAGGATTATAATGCAATTAAATGCAAAGGTGCAAGCGAGCTGAACAAGAATGACGAAAATAATCCTTGGAGAAGGGTAACAGGAGGGACATAGGAAAAACACAAATATTAAAACATAGCTAGGTGACTGGTACGCGACCGAAAAAGTCCGCCTGGTCCGGGTATCGAACCCGGGACCTCTCCATTCCCAGTGGAATGCTCTACCACTGAGCTAACCGGGTTTAGATGTTAGTAGAGCAACAGGTTTTATCAGCTCCTACCAGGCTAACACCAAAAGGGGTGAAAGACTTCCCCCTCTGGTCTGGTCTGGGGGCGTATCAGATGGGTCATGTCTGGCTCGCCAAGATGAAGAATTCGGAGGCCAAAAGCAAGCTGCTTCACGCCGGCGAACTTTAGGTCAAGGGTCGGTGCTGCCTAGTGATTGACCCATACCGGCGGGATATCAAGGTGAAACTTCACTGGTTACCATCGACGTGCCCGTCTGCACCGCCCGTCGCGCCTTCGAGCCGTACTGCGAGGTGAAGGACGTCGTCCGAGAGGTTTGGAAGCGGGACGAGCTCGTCGGCGTTGAATCTACGACGCTGACTGTCGCCTTGACCCTCCGCCAAGATGCATCGCTGGAAAATTAGCCGCACCAGCTCCGTTTCTGTGGCCACTCGGTACTGGTGGTGGTCCCCGGGCGCTCGCCCATCTGCCTCCGTTGCCAGCGCGACTGTAGGGCGCCCTGGTGCTCTGAATGCCGAAGTTTCGGGCACGAAAAAAGAAATTGTGTCAAGACGTACGCTCGCGTCACTGGCAGCGACACCGGGCCGGAAACGTCTGAGTTGATAATGGAGGAAGAGGAGACCAAGCGGGCCGCAGCAACGGTAACACCGCCAGTGCAGCTAGTGCTCAGCCAGGCAACTATCGACAATGGGATTTTAAGCGCGGCGTTACTAGAAGCACCTCCTGCACGACCGTCCCCGAAGGCAACTCACGAGCAGACCCAGGACGCCATTCCCAAGACAGTTAAGAGTACTCCAAGCGACCCCGAGGGAACGGATAAGCACCGAGATCCTGCTGTCTCCAAGCAAGACAAGGTCCCCACGTCCATAGAAGCCGACGCTACGGCGACAAAGCGTCGGCTGGACGACACAGTTTCCGTCAGCGGGGAACATCTACCGAGGCGCTTCGAACAAGAATGGCACGGTGAAAATGAGAAAATAGGGCGGTATAACTCCGCGGCTTTGGTGCCCCAAGTTTTCGATTTGAGATGCACGTCCAGCCATTCAGTTAAGTTGTATACTACTTTAATAATCACTCATTTTTCCCACCAGCGAGTCATTCTGTGACGGCTTGAAGCTGAGCTAGTTCGTTGTTCGCTTATATATGGTGCAAACTGAAAAAAATGAGTATGTAACATTTCTTCTTGTTCAGCCGGCACCAGATTTGTATGAGTCATTCTGTCCTGGTGATTTGGTGTGTCGTTTCTCGTGAATTGTCTGAAGTGTGAGGTAGGGTGATCGTTTTCACTCTCCTACCGGCAGCTCGAGAGTTCGACGTGTCCAAGGCCGAGGACATGTTTCGACGGGTGAGTCCTCCTAAAGCAAATCACATACATATTGTATCCCCAGACGTATGACGTCACGAAGAGAATAGCGTGGAAAGACTTAGGAAGGTATAATGCAGCGAACGTATCGGTCGTTCATGAGAAAAAATAACCATGTTTTTCGGCCCTCGTTAAGGATGAGTAAACTACGCTGAAAGCCAAAACTCAGTCAGATAGTGACGCTAGCGGCAGGGGGCTTATATCCATTTTGTTTTTTCACAAGTACCCTTTGATACAGGCGACGTCTTGTTGTCAATGTGGACCTTTAGCAAACCGTTGCCGTGTTCGGTGTACCGCACTACTAGAGCTTTGAAGCATGTTTTTAAGTGCGCGCCCGACCGCGGGGCGCGCGCAACTTGCTTCAAAGGCTCCGGTAGTGCGGTACGCCGAACACGGCAACGGTTTGCTGAACGTTCCTAATATTTTGTGTTCCGTCACAACCGCTACCGTCACATTCCAGTAGAGCTTGAACTCACTGTGATGCAAAATATATGCACGCGGGCCGACATACACGAGTTTCTTTTCTCGTGAGCACGGTTCATAGAATCGCACAACAACGAAGACACCAATGAGAGATGTTTCAAAATGACTGACTCTGCTGGTCTCCTGCAGCTGCTGTTATGAATGAATGTAGGGACTCGCTGCGAAATAAGCTACAAAAATCGTCGTGCGCACGCAGCCACTTCACGTTTTATAACGTAATATAGTGGTAAATTTACCCCGGTGCTCGGTCGAAAGCAAAAAACAGAGTCCCCAACTTCCTGCACCTATTGGGACATGGCGTAGGAAGTATTCACTTTGGGCTTCTGCGTTGTGCGTTCTGTGTTGGAGCGCGCCATCGAAAAAGTCAATATTGTTAAACATTTTCAACAAAAAAATAACAAACAGAACAAAGAAACTACGGCTTAAAATTTTTCAAGGTAAAATCCATTACGTAAATACAGAATAGATGAAACTTTTAGGATTTGTAACCACCAATTATTAGGGCTCATTTTAGTGGAACTCGCTCAATCATAGGCTCAATTCAAAACAACCAATATATGCTATAATATAACATCAGCTATGTCAATTTGCAATCTGAATGGGTTATTGAGCTCCTCTTTTTCATTATTAGAAAGCTGCCTCAACAGCGAAAAATGCGGAAGTCTTGAAATGCGACAATTCAGATAAAACAAAAGGGGGTCAAGTAGAAATAAGAAAGCAACGCATCTTCTATGCTCATTGTTTCTATTTGTTCTACGTTTCGCAAAAATGAGACGGCGAGAACAAACCGGATTTTCTTGCACAATAAACTTGAAAGGTGTCTGTGAGCACTAGTCAACAAAGTCTGAAAATACTTTCGTGGTTCCTTTTTCAAGCTGGTAGACTTGCCCCCAAACCAGACGGGTCAGTCTTTTAACACTTGCCACAGAAAGGCTTTTTGGATATTTCAGTGGCCGTTTTGTAACCACGTAGAATTCTCTGTGATCGCTTTTACACTGGGGCGGCACGCTCTACCGCAGGACGTCGAGTGGAGGTCAAAGAACGGAATGGGCAGCATCTTGGAGGATTACCAGCCGCACGAGGTTAGTTTCGAGACGCGCAGTGTCCTTCAGACGTCCCACGGTAGCTTCGTTGCTGTTACGCGTCGTGCAGCTGATTCAGCGTTACTTCCCTGGCGGCCTGCTGGAATGCCATTCCGAGGGACACCCGCTCTTCTTGGTGCCTATTGGGAACGTCGACATTAGAGGTGAGTGCGTGCGATCTATCAGGCTTTGATACAGCTCGCTCGCTGAGCTGCCTGAGAAACCAACACAATAAGGCCGTTGTATGGCGCCTGCAGCGCGTCCCCGCGACTGGCGTGTTCCCCGCGTCCTCAAATCTGGTCCCTCGACTCTTGTCTGATGACGTCATGGAAATTTCATTTCCTGTCGCGTTCCTGGTGGCGGCACAACAGCGGTGGCGGATACGGCAGACGCCTTTTCTACTTTGGCTCGCTCTTCGCTCGACACTCAACGGACGCTTCCGCAACCGCAAGCTTGAAGGCCGCGACGACGGTGACGTTGGCGTTCGCTCATTTTTACCGTAACTTCTACGACTAGCCGTCGGAATCGTGACATGCCATATCGTGACAAGGCTGGTCCCGTGGCGTAATTTGATGTCACTTCGAGACCACTACTGACGCATGGACTGTGTAAGAAATAACACCTAGAAGACAAGGGCTGCACCCTTCCTTCCTCAAACGTTCTCACTAGTGGATCCACACAGTGCCGCCTGCCTTGCGTCAGCATCGTTGTGAGCACGTGTTGCAGCGTTTCATAGCCTTAACACACGGCGACGCGAAAACGGGCGTGTCTGCCGCTCTGTGGCGGCTTTCGCGGCGTTTCAGCGTGTTTACCGCTTGGGGCAGGTCGTGAATTCACTAACGATGACGTGTTACGCAGGCCTCGTCTTTTGAGTGATATTGGTAGGGGACACTAAAGGCACCAATCAAAGACCGGTTCCTGGCACCCTAGTCATAGTGCTGGATTTTATACATCAGCTAGTGAAGGCCGGCGCGAGATACTGATCAGGGACGAGTGCTTCGTAAATGTTCGGTTGGGTTCGTGTTCGATCAGCGAGGAATGAAGATTCAGCCGAGCGTTGTTGCAGCCCTTGTGTCCAATCTGCGCATCCCGCTGGCGCCCGGTGGTGACGTAGAACGTTTACACCAAGGCCTGGTTACCAGGGAGGTGTCGGAGAGAGTGGCCTCCTCTCCGACTTCCGTTAGACTTCTCACCGAACGCTCGGGGCAACAAAACAAGAGAAAGAAAGAACGACACCATATTTAAATGAACGTTCAGGAAACTCACAGAAGGCGTCGCGGAGATCCCAGAATAAACCGCCTGGTACGGGGCAGGGCTTTTTATATTTTTGTAGAGTATACGATGAGGTGGGCAGGGTAACTTGCCACAGCCGTATTAAAAGACGGTGGACGCGTGTGTTCCCAGTATAAATTATTTTCGCACTCACAAACCTCGAACAATCCATATTTGGGCGAAACCAGCTGAACATACAAATATCAACCGTAACAACAAATGAGAGAATAAATTAAATGCGCATTCAACCGCTGGACTACCAACTATTTAATGAGAGTCTACTTCCTCTTCAGCTAGCTCTGTTTGTTCTATATAGTGCGAATTTTGTTGACAATTTACATGATTCAATTAATAAAATTATGGTACGTTTCTCAAATGCTTCAATAATGTTACTAGGCGACTTTAATTATCCAAATATTTTATGGTCGCACGAATCTTCTTATCTTTGTCCCTTTTCTACCGAGTGTAGCAATTTCTTGAACATGTGTGCTGATTTCAATCTCTCGCAAGTTGTAACCCAGCCAACCCGAGTTCCGCCCACATCATCAAGTGTCTTGGATCTTGTATTGACCACCTCCCCAGACCTTGTCAGGCCCATAACTTACTTAACAGGTTTGAGCGGTCATTCTTTGCTTCACTACACATTGAACATTCCTGTTCCTAATCAAGATAACCACTATAAATGTATTAGAGATTATAAGAAGGCGGACTTTGTTGCTATTATTCGTGAGCTATGTCTGTTTCTGGATAAGTTCCTACAAGGGTTAGATGAGAGATCTATAAATATGAACTGGAATTTATTTAAAAATGAAGTGGCTTCACTCACAAATACGTTCATACCATTGAGAACCATCAGATCAAACCGGAAATCACCGTGGTTTAACCAGTCACTGAAAAGGTTGTCAAACAAGAAAATAACGCTTGTTTCGTTCCGCGAAATCATCCAATTCCCAGTCTCGTTGGGACACCTACCGATGTGCAGCTACTAATTACAAAGTAGGACTAAAAGAAGCGAAATACTCATTTTTTAGTCAAACTTTACCTTCCGTACTCACACATAATCCTAAACAATTCTGGAATGTTGTAAACAAGACTGACAAGCATGCTATAACACTTAGATGTACAGATGGTACAGTAGTTCCTAGCAGTCAATGCGCTAGCATTCTCAACGCGGTGTTTGTTTCAGCGTTTTCTAGTAATTTAAATGCTACTTACACTGCCTGTCACACTTACGAGTTTTTTCCAATGGACCCAGTTCTTATTGACACAGTTTGTATTGTGAGAATAATAGAAAAACTGAAGATGTCGTCATCCTCTGGTGTCGATGATATCAACTCTAAATTTTTGCTTAATACTAAGATGTTGAGCTCTATAATCCTGAGTAAACTGTTTCAGTAGTCTCTTGATACAGGTAGTATACCAGATGATTGGAAGATCGGGAAGGTGATTCCTTTGCACAAATCAGGTGAAAAGCATTGTCCAAATAACTTTCGACCCGTGTCACTTACCAGCATTCCCTGTAAAATCATGGAACATATCATTTACTCCCATCTTGCAAACTACTTAGAGTCCAATTCTTTTTTCAATTCATCCCAGCATGGGTTTCGTAAGTCATTTTCATGTGAAACTCAGCTTTTGTGTTTCACACATGATCTACATTCTATTCTTGATCGTGGATCTCTGGCGGACTGAATAATCCTCGATTTTTCAAAAGCATTCGATAAAGTATCTGACGAACTTCTCTTTCTCAAGCTGACTAAACTAAACTTAGACACCAACGTTCTTGCATGGTTGCACACCTTCCTCACTAACCGGTCCCAATTCGTGACGGCTAACAATATCAATTCTGATTTATCTCCAGTTGCCTCAGGTGTGCCCCAAGGCTCGGTTCTGGGGCCCTTACTTTTTCTCATTTATATTAACGACCTGCCCACTAATATATGTTTATCCGTGAGTCTCTTTGCCGATGACTGCGTCATTTATGGCGAAATTAACAGTGATTCTGACATCTCACTTCTTCACTCAGATATTAACAGTGTTTCTGAGTGGTGTGATTTGTGGAACATGAAACTAAACATTAATAAGTGTAAATCTATGCGTGTTTCCCGTCTTGATAATCCTTGTGCTTCTTATCGTCTAAATTATCTCTCTTTCGAAACCGTATCATCGTATAAATATCTGGGTGTGCATATATCTGCTAATCTGTCCTGGCCGTGTCACTTTGAATATATTGTAAATAACGCCAACCGCATGCTTGGATATCTCCGAAGAAATTTTTGTCTTGCTCCCAGCTCATTAAAATTACTTTTATATAAAACATTAGTTCGTACTAAATTGGAAAATGCAGCTTCGGTTTGGGATCCTGGTCAAGAATCGCTTATCTTCGAATTAGAAGCGATTCAGAACCGCGCATCTCGTTTCATCCTTTCAAATTATCATCGTACATCCAGTGTGACCGTAATGAAGTCTAGCCTATCATTACCTCTTCTTTCACAACGTCTGTGCTTGTTTCATAAGATGTATCATAATAATCCGATTTTAAAAGAAAGACTACTAACAACACCTCATTACGTTTCAGCACCCATCGATCACCGTCATAAAGTTGCCATTCCTTCTTGTCGTACTAAACATTTTTATGAGTCTTTTATTCCTAGTGCCTCAACAATGTGGAATCACCTTCCCGGAGCCATTGCCGAAATCCCTGATATCGAGTGTTTTAAAACTGCCGTTTCCAATATTTTTTTGTAAAGAGCCATAACTACTGTATAATATTTTCTGTTGTACGCTGTATGTTGTGTTGTACTTTTTAATACCCACTCCCCTCTGTAACGCCTCTGGCGCTGAGGGTAAATAAATAAATAAATAAAAATAAATATCTTCTTCCTTTGTTTCTGCATTCTACTTTTCATGAGAGTCTTCTTCAACTAGCTTATGCTTCCTCCTCGACTTTCTAATTGTTAGAAGTACAATCGCTTCGCAGGAAAGTTTACCCTCTTTGGATAGGGAGACTTACCATGAACTAACGCACTCGTCTTATTTTTATTCCATGGCCAAGGCCTCCAACACCTCTCGGGCGAACTGATTTCTGTGGCGCCTCAAGATGGTCACATGCTTGAGATTGACCTTGCGCGAGCATGCCCGACAATGTGCGGCTAGGTTTCTTGCTGTCGTCAAGCTTTTTAGATTGTTCGTATCTTCTGTCGCTAACGCAGCACCCCGTTTCTCCCGTGTAGCACCGCTCGCGTATCAAGGGAACATTGTAAATGACTTCCTCTTCACACGGGGCGTATTTGGTCTTGTGATTGATCCCGCATATATTTCTTCTGTTGACTTGCGCCTGGTTCACTTTGCGGCACATCGAATAGGCTTTATTTGGCGCCGTGCACACCACTTGTACTTTTTGGCGACTCGCAATATTTTTTAATCTTTATGTGATCCCATGGATATACGGGACAACAGCTAAAGGTTTATGTGTCTTTTTTTTTTCGTTGCGGAGTCGATATGGTCGCTAGTCTTCTTTATGTTATGGCATATTATTTTTCTCATATGGAGGCCAAGACGTGTTGGGGGTTGCCAGCATTCTGAAGTCTGGATACTTCTGTATCGAAGTTTTGTGTGATTTGATGTTCACATGACATTTTAGTCTGGATGAGAAGGCTGTGGCGGCCACTCCCTGCTTTACGGTTTTGGAATGTTCGGAGATAAAGGGAGGAACCCTTTACTTAATCCAGCTTGGTACCTCTAGCATATATGCCTTTCTCTGAGTTCTAATGCCAAATTAAAATACGTGATGGTTTTTCTAATGGTAAGTTTATATGTGCAGGTGAGCCCCATGCAACATTGTTGGACACTCCTCAGAATGGTATTGAGGCACCCGTCATTTTGTTTGTCA